CAACAAACACTAGTCAGAAGCTTCAACTCAATCCAGAAGAAACAGTGAGACTCTGCCAAATCAGCAAGAGCCCACATGCAAAAAAGCAGCTGGAATACTAGGAGAAGTTCTTTGGGACATTTCTCTCTATGAAGTCATGACAAGTGAAGATCAGTGAAGACTAGCGAAGTATTTTAAGGCGAATCAATGCAAGAGCCTTGTCTGTTGGGTTCTTCTCAAACTCCAAACATCACATGTCCTCTCAAGCGTCTGCCTGAGCAAAACATCCTCTCACATGTCTGCTTCAGTAAAAACACCTCATAAGACAGCTTCCAGAAAAACATTACATGACACAACTGAGTCTCCAAAGAAACCTGAAATTTCCACTTCAACAGGTACTGGCTACTAACTATGACAAGGAGAATTTGATCCCTTGAACCCACATGGTGGAAACTATCTTAGTTAGGGTTTGCATTGCTGTAAAGAGACAACATGACCAAGGCAACTCTTATAGGGACAACATTTAATTGGGACTGGCTTACTGGTTCTTAGGTTAGTCCATCATCATCATAGTAGGAAGCATAGCTGTGTCCAGGGTGCCACGGTGCTAGAGGAGCTGGAAGTTCTACATCCAAAGGCAGACAGGAGAAGGCTGCTGTCTTCCAGGAAGCTAGGAGGAGGGTCTCAAAGCCCACCTCACAGTGACACACTTCCTCCAACAAGGACACACATCTCCAACAAGCCACACTTCCAACAGTGCCACTCCCTGGATTAAGCATATTTGAACCACTACAAGAACCAACTCATGCAAGCTGTCCTATGATTTCCTCCCACCCCCACCACAAAACCTGACATGTAGACCAAGGCATACATGCCATGGCATGCACATACACATGCAACACACAAAACAGATACATGGAGACATGCTTCCTGTGTCATCATTTACCAAATGGCTCGAGTTTTTTTTTTTTTTTTTTTATAAATTATTTATTTTTGAACATGAAATGCTTTTTTATAGCATGTTTCACAAGGGGAGGGGGTAAGAGGGGCCAGATGGTGGAAAAGTACAAAATCTTCTTGGCCTGTGCCTTGAAACATGTCATGGTCTATACGGTACACTATGGCTCGAGTTTTAAAAAGAAACATTCTTCACTTTTGACTTAACATTTGTAAATATTTGCACATGGAGTGATGCATCTTGGATCTGGTTTTTAATTCTGTGAGGAAAGAAAATAAGCAGGAAGTTGTAAAATGAAGATGGGTGTAAAATAGTCACTGATGTGAATACAGCTACCTTATGGGGGTTGTCACTCTCTTCTGTCTACACTCATATATGCCAATATTCCAAACTCGCAGACATGGAGTCTTGGTTTCCTCATGCTGGCATTACAACACTACAGACTGGTAAGTTATAAGCAAAAGAGGTTTATTTCTGCCCATGGTTCTGGTACAGTTTCAGAAGGATGCAAGTGTCAGTGGCTTTCATGCTGGCAGTCTCAAGACACTGAATAATACATGAGAAAAGCAAACAGCTTACAAAACCTAGCCAAACTAGCTTTTATGTCAGTCCACCCTGGTGATAACCCATAATCCACTAACCATGTGAACGGTTAATCAAGAGCAGAGCTATAATCACTGCTCAGTGCTCTCACCCACTAATATTTATAACAGGAATTACACAAGGGAGGGAACAAACCATATAAGCATAACATCTGAGCAAAACAAAGCAAATGGCTTGGAACAATTATCTAGCCATTAAGAGAATGAAATTGCTTCTTTGTTTATTACTTTACAATGTGATAAATCCCAAATAGAACACAGTAAAATATTTACAAGTGGGCAATGAAACCATAAAAACCTTAATAAACCCAGAGCTAATTCCTGTACAATATTGGATAGAGGAAGATACAAAAGCACAAATACTCTACATAAGTAACAGCATTGCAAATAAAGCCATAGAATGGAAACATATCTGCCATGCAAAGGCTTGTCTTTCTCACACATTCTCAAAGCAGCAACACTAATAACCCTTCATGGACGTTCTAAGCAGTTAATCAGTCTGCAGAATGTCCAACCTAGGTGCCCCTTTTCAGCCAACGCTGGTTCACATATTCCACACCCACCAAATATTGGTCTGTTTCCTCCTGGGTTGAATGTGATTCTCCTTCTCGAGTCTTCATCCCTCTGCACTTTGCCTAAGCGTTCTAACATACTGCACAAATGCAATTTTAAAAACCTATGGAATTTCTCGACGTGTTTTTATTTGACACACACAAGATGAGGAGTCAGTTGAGCAACTGCTTAAGCAGAAACACACTCTTTAAGTGAGGGTGATCCTCAAAAAGACATTTTCTCCTGTCACCTCTACAGTATGAGTTTCTGCTTCACAGTTTTCTCAGGTAAAAAAATAAGACAAATATTGACTTCCAGATTTGCTGTAGAAGCTCTGAGTGATGCCAGGTTCTTTCCCTCTGGGGCAATTTTTCCGACACTAACTGTTAACAAGCCTGCAAATAAATTAGTCTCTTCTCCCCCCTGAGACTAAAGATGATCAGGCAGATGACAGGCATTGCCATCCCAGCTTTGGGTGACAGTAAAGGCATGCAACTAACCCGAGTAGTCTATCTCAGCAGCTCTCAGGCTTTTCCCACACCTCCAACTGTATATACTGAGTGACATTCTATGTGTAATGTATTTCCTTTCCTAAGACAAGATCAGGTAAGATGGTTTCTTCCCCAATAAGTAAACATAACACCAACATTGCTCTGCAGATCCTCATGTGACTGAATTGCTCACCCTGGTGGTTTGGCCTTTATAAAATCAAAAATCCATTTACTACCTAGATGGAAAATAACAAGCAGATATTGCAATAGAAAATTCTCTGGTACATATTACTTCTGGAACTCTCTAGAGTGATTTTTTTTGACAAAATCATTTGGAAAGAAAATATGGAGATGTTAATATATTTAATTATCACTTCTGAAATCATTGACTTTGTTTTCTAAACCTACTTAGCTTAATTGCTAGAATATATAATGTTAGTATTTTCTTCGATGAAAAGATTATCGGAGATTACTTATATATTTGTTGAGTAAAATTCTTATCTTACTTGAGACTCATCAATAAGGAACATATATCATCATTATGTACATCTTTTAGGAATATTTTTAAAATGTTTTGATGTTTAATTGCATAATATTAAGCTATTTAAAATAAAGATCAGATATAATGGACCTGCTTACAAAGTTTATTTAAATACAGTCTTTAGGAACTGGGGAGATGGCTCAGTGGGTAAAGTGCTTGCCTTGAATCACAGGAAACCAAGTTTGAATCCTCACTTAGAACACACACACACACACACACACACACACACACAAGCCAAATGGATTTAGCAAATATTTGTAATTCTACTATTCCTATGGTGAAGTGGGAGACAGAGCTAGATGAATCCCCAGGAGCTATGTTCCAGATAGCCTGGGTTTGCTGATAGCAAAGAGAGACCCTGCCTCAAACAAGGTGGAGCAAAGTACCAAAACCAGAGATCCCCCGCTTTGGCCTTTGAATGAGCTCCAAGGCATGGACGACCCTGTGTACATCCATGTACACATAGACAATACAGCCTTTAACCACACAATATATGTAACAATTACCTTACTTCATGTGGCATTTGATATTTCAAAATTAATGACATTTGGCTTGCCACCCTCTTGTATGTTAGAGTGTAGACTAGAGTATAGTTTCACGTTATAGAATATATATATATACATATATATATATTTTATTTGACCAGTAATCTGTACTATCAGCTGTTTTATTAATATCTTAATTCTGTGTATCAAGTTAAAGATAGTTTGGTTTTTCGAGACAGGGTTTCTCTGTATAACCCTGGCTGTCCTGGAACTCACTCTGTAAATAAACTAGGCTGGCCTCGAACTCAGAAATCTGCCTGCCTCTGCCTCCCAAGAGCTGGGATCAAAGGCATGCACCACCACTGCCCAGCTAAAGATAGTTTTTTAAAAATTCTTTATCTACTGTTTTTGTGTGAAAGTGAACATACTCATTCCATGGTGCACATACAGAAGTCAGAGAACAACTTTTGGAATTACACCTGGTATTCCAGGGCCCAAACTCAGGCCTTCAGGCTAAATACTTTCACTTGCTGAGCCATCTTGTGGACTGCAAAGACATGGTTTTACATAATTGGCAAAGGACTTTAAGAATATTTTGTTGTTTGGATATGTGGTGCATTGGAAAAGCGCTTACCTAGAAAGTGGGGAGGCCGGGGGTGGTGTGTTAATCCCAATACGATTTTAAATTTTCACAGGTATAATCCTTGAAAAACCAAAATGTTCTATTCTGGATCTAAAATTCTTTTAAAACACTTCTAAGACTACTACACTGAGAGGGTTTTTGTTTATGGTACTGGGATTATTGCAAAGATCACAATTCTTTTCAGTGAGTTCTCTCATTTCTCTCTCTCTCTCTCTCTCTCTCTCTCTCTCTCTCTCTCTCTCTCTACTGGTTTTCCTCCCATCTCTCTCTTTGTTCCCTTTCTTTCATTTTAAAATATATTTGTTGGCATAATGTCACTAAGATGCCCCAGCAGGTCTACAACCTGAGATCCTCTTGCCTAAGCACCCCCATTAGCTGAGACTAATAAGAATTCTATAGGTTCCATTCCGTTTATATTGAGACAACGGTGCAGAATTATTACTTCACTATATCTGTTTTTAGAGATAAGCTACTAAATGAAGTGTTCAAAGGTTAAAAAACGTTTCAAAGAATTTTCAAAACCTTAAAATGCTACGTTGCCAGGTATCTAAACTTGTCGGAGCCGGTTCCCTGCAGCCGCCGCGGTGTGAGAGTGCCCGGTGGAGGTATCGGGTGAATGGGCCTCTAACTTCGTCTTGGGCAGGAGGCGGGAGGACCTCTCTGGCCGCACCGTCCCCGCGGAACCTCTGTGCGTGCGCCCACGTTTCCCCGCCGGGACCTCTAGGAGGGACTTTTGTCCGCCGCGGATCGACGCCGCCGTAGGCCTGGTATCCGCCATGAAGTTTCGCGCCAAGATCGTGGACCTGGCTTGTCTCAATCACTTCACACGTGAGCTGGCAGGGCTGCCGGGATCAAGCGGAGAGTGTGGCTGCAGTCCCTGTGAGGGGACGGGCGGGGTGAGGGCAGCCCTGAGAGGGAAGAATAGCTACCGGGGACCTTCCCTTTGCAGCCCTCCCTCACTTTCCTTCCGCCCGGAGTATGCCTAACCTTCCTAGGAGTTCTGTGCTGCAGTTCCCGGCGGCTCCCTCGTTTCTGTGGAACGTACACCTGACCCCCAGTTGTCAGTTGTTTTTTGACACTGTTTTCTTTATTCTATTTCCGTATTGAACTCTGGTGCTGTGGGCTGTGTGCCTCGCAGAGTTGTTGGGAGACTGGCAAAATGTCAGCAGTATTGAAATACTAGCGTGATCTGTGACCTTGAAGTTCTGCAAGAAGCCCTGTAGGTGTGCTGCTTAGTAACTGTTTACTTTACCCGCTCGCTGTAGGAGTCAGTAACATGATAGCCAAGCTTGCCAAAACCTGCACCTTCCGCATCAGCCCGGAGAAGCTGAACTTCATCCTTTGCGACAAGCTGGCCAATGGGGGCGTGAGCATGTGGTGTGAACTGGATCAGGTGAGCAAGGGAGCCCAGGGGCTGTGGGCTCCAGCTACAAGTGCTGAAAAGGCCACAAATCCCTGTTTCTGTCCTGCAGGAGAACTTTTTTAGTGAATTTCAAATGGAAGGAGTCTCTGAAGAAAACAACGAGATTTATTTAGAATTAACGTCGGAAAACTTATCTCGAGCCTTGAAGACTGCCCAGAACTCCAGAGCCTTGAAAATCAAGCTGACTAACAAACACTTTCCCTGTCTTACCGTGTCTGTAGAGCTGGTAAGTGGAAAGAAAAGGATTTCTGAATTATTATTATTATTATTATTATTATTTACAAATGTCTTGGTCTAGGTGTTATATAGATAGCTAGATAGTTCAGTGCACAGCCTCTCCTCAGGACACACAAAAACACATGTACAAGATGGACTTTTTCATTCCTAACATGTTCATATTCTTTCATATATGGTTCAAACTATCTTGGAGCCAGATCATCAATTATTACCTTCTGAGTGCCTCTCTGGGTATGTCTTTTTTGCCTAACTCCCAGACTGGTGACATTGGTTGGGTTTTCCATGTGGAGTTTCTGGACTTTCCTTTCTTTAGTGCTCTACCCCAACCTACTTGGGCCCTCCTTATCTTTACAGCTTTCCTTTCTTACATGTACTCTGCACATCTGTGGGTCAGTATTGCATTTGTTTCAAGCTGGCTACAGACAGTAAATTTCCTGCCTTCATAATTTATATGTGTTCTTAAAGCATTCCGTGTAACTGTAAGTTTGGATGTATTTAGTTCTTTTGTTTGTTTTGTTTTCAGAGATAAGGTTTCTTTGTGTAGCCTTGGCTGTTCTGGAACTAGCTCTGCAGACTAGACTGCCCTCAGCCTCAGAAATCCGCCTATCTCTGCCTCCCAGGTGCTGGGATTAAAGGCATGTGCCACTGCTTGGTTTCTTAAGGAAAAGCAAGATGGCAATATACAATACTTTTCTAAGTAAGAATGCAAATTAATTTGGTTTCTTTTTGTTTGTTTTTGTTTTGTTGTTTTGGGATAGATTCTCACAATGAAGCTCTGACTATCTTAGAATTCACTGTGTAGACCAGGCTGACCTTGAATTTATAGAGATCCACCTGCTTCTGCCTCCTGAGTGCTGGGATCAAAGGTGTGCACCACTATGCCCAACAATACTTTGGCTTTTGAATTTTAGAAATATTTCTAGTAATAAACATGGTTTATCCTTCTAATGTTGCAAAAAGCTGCAGCATACTGAGGGTGTGGCACACAATGGTCCATAGGTTGCCTTGGCCTGGCAGATTTGCCTCTTTCTGTCTGTCGGGTTTATGAATGCTGATACTGTTCCTCTGACTAAAACCCTGTTACCTCATCCTCAGCTTCTTGACAGTTGTCTACCTCTCTAGTGTTGATGCCCTCTGAGGCAGCACCCCAGAGGTTCTCACTTACCCCTCCCCACCATAACTCTCATTCAGCTGCATTGCTGATGTGTTTTCCTCAGGCTCTGATGAGTGTCTGGTACAGCTGTGTTTGCTTGCTTGCTTATCGATCCATCTTCTCTCAGTCACCACACTGTTGAGAGACTCACAGGATCCTGAGCAGAACAGGTACACCACACTAACAACACTGGTTGAATAGAACTTGAGTGGATGGGTTAAGATCTTCCAGTTGGAACTGATGATGTCAGCATTGGTTCTTATGTTTCGGGGTTTCTTTTTAGCATTGACAACATACATGATTCTAATTTTTTCTTAGCAGTTGTCTTCATCAAGCAGCAGCAGAGTTGTGGTGCATGATATCCCCATAAAGGTTATTCCAAGAAGACTCTGGAAGGACTTACAAGAACCCTCCGTCCCAGACTCTGATGTAAGTGTTGTCCGTAAGTGATGTCCAGTTGTTCAACATACAATAAAGGGCAGAGATTAGAATTCTCTAATGCTAGTTGTTGTCTTATAGTGTGTTTTATTTGAAGTTGTATAGTTTCTGAAAAGAATGCAGGTCATTTAACAAGACTCCAGATGTGAGTATGTGCCTTTCATTATATATGTAAATCCTGGAAAAGAACTGATACCCACTTAGAAATGCCACGATTTCCATACAGGAGGTCAAGTGCCTCGCTCAGTGATGGCCTTTATATAACTGAAAGCAGAGCCTAAGCTGGACTTTGGAAGACAGTCTGTATTTCTCATGACTCTTGGCCTTAAGCACAAATGTTTCATAGGCCTTGATAGAAGAGCCAGAAAAGGCATTTTGTTGACTTGAAGCTTAGGTTAGCTGTATCACTTCTAGGAACCTCAGGGCCATTGCAAATAAAGAGGATGCCAAATGGTCCTTTGTCTTGCATATATGAAAGGAAATTAAACAGGTACTGAATGAAATGCGTGGTTGACTGTCACTAGAAGGTGTCTGTATAGTTTTGGGAAAAGCCAGCATTACATACAGCTCTGTTCAGCGTAGTTCAAATGAGTTGTGATAATGCCTGCCTGAACTCTTACACAGAGTACACAGAAGGCCCCTGAGTCCTATAAAATATCTCCCAGAGGAAGTCTTCTTGCTCAGCACTTGAGGTGTATTCCCCTTGGACCTGTATATGGGTATCTCAGCTGAAGTACTGTGTTCCTTCTTGAACCATAACAATGCCTTTGGGAGTATGGTCACCATGGTAACCAGAGACAAGTAGTCAGGCATCTTTATATGCTTGAATAAGTTAGTGACATTTTTAAAGTTTTAAAGAAACTTTATTTGGATAATTTTTGTAAGAATGTCATTTTGATACGAGTGTAATTCATAGCTGTTGATTGAATACCTGTCATTATAGACTATAGTATGATTTCTAATGCTTGTTATTTCTCCTACTCGTTTTAGGTCAGTATTTGTTTGCCAGCCTTGAAGACGATGAAGAGTGTTGTGGAAAAAATGAGAAACATCAGCAATCACCTCGTAAGTTATTATTCCTTCAGAAAGGAGCTGTCAGTGGGCCCTAGCCCTATGCTTGGCTTGTCCTGGGAGGCAGCTTCACTATAGACCCAGGGCAGACACAGGGTGTCTCAGCTAGTGGGTTTCTCTTCACTGATGCCCCACTGGGGAGGACAGAGCTTGGCCTCTAGGGACTTATTCTAATACCTTTCAGCTCTTACTCACTAGGGAAAGCTTCCAAACTCACCTTTAATCCCTGGTGTTTATAGTATATCAGGAACATAGTCAACAGTTCTGGTATTTTGTTTCTTGTAATTTGGACAGAACATTGCGAGTTTTTATTATTGTTATTATTATTAATTCATTTATTTATGTCACATCCTGGTTACATTATGTTAAATTGCACTACATTACAGCTTTACCTCCCTCTTTCCTGCCAGTTCCTCCTGTTACCTCCCCTCCCCTTCATCTCCTGCCTCCTCGCTTTCCTCTCAGAAAAGGGGAGATATTCCCTGAATATCAAGCAGCCTTGGCATATCAAGTTGCAGTATGACTAGGGCATCTTCTCCTGTTGAGCCTAGACAAGGGAGCCTAGTTAGGGGAATGGAATCCAAAGGCAGAGAGCAGAGTCAGAGACAGCCCCTGTGCCCACAGGAAGGCTCAGTTGCACAATTATTGCCTATGTGTAGAGGGCCCAGGTCTGTCCCATGCATGCTCTCTAGCTGGCTGTTTAGTCTCTGTAGGCCCCTATGGGCCTAGGTTAGTTGATTCTGTGAGTTTACTGTGGCATCTTTGACCCATCTGGCTTCTTGAGTTCTTTCTTCCCCTCTTCCACAGGATTCCCCAAGCTTTACTTAATGTTTGCTGTGGGTCTCTGCATCAGTTTCTATTAGGTGCTGGGTGAGGCTCCTCTGATGACTGTTATGCTAGGTTCTTGTCTGCTAGTCTAGCAGAATATCATTTATAGTGTCAGGGTGGGCTCCCTCTCATGACGTGGGTCCCAAGCTGGACCAGTCATTGGTTGGCCCTTCCCTCAAATTCTACTCTACCTTTTATCCCTGTACATCTTGTAGTCAGCACAAATTGTGGATCTATGGTTTTGTGACTGGGTTGGTGTCTCAATACCTCCATCAGAAGTTTTGCCTAGTTACAGGGGATGGCTGGTTCAGGCTCCTTATCCCCCCCTTTCCCCCCATTGCTAGGAGTCTTAGGTAAGGTCATCCTCGTAGATTCTTGGGAGTTTCCGTTGTCCTAGGTTTCAAGCTTGTCCCAGAGATGCTCCCTGCCCCCAATCCAGTTGTTTTTTCTAGTACTCTCTCCCTCTGTCCTCCCACCATCTCATCCCTCCTGTTCCCATCCCTACCCCTACCCCATCCAGTTCCTTCCCTCTATCCATTCCTAATGGATAAATCTCTTTCCCCTTCTCAATGAGATTCAAGCATTCCCCACCTTGCTCCCCTTAGGCCTTCCTTGTTACTTAGCTTCTTTGGGTCTGTCTGTGGTTTGTAGCATTTGGCTCTTGTAAGGCTTTTGAAACCCAGGAAGTGTTTTGCTATCTTTAGTCATCTTTCTCTTGAGTTCTCACTTGAACAAAGCAACGCTGCCACAGAGCTTGTCCATCTGAACACTCGCCTTTTTTTAGTCTTTGTAGCTGCCATCTGAAGGGAAAATATGTTTTCCTAGAAGTGGCACACACTATGCTGGCGGTGTTGTTCGCCCCCACTGCCATGGTATTGCTCTGGTTGCCAGGCTAGCTTCCTCTAAAGCATCCTGGAACTTCTAGGATGTTCAGGAGTCCCAGAGGGAAAAGTCAGGCAACTAATTGAGGTTCCATTTGCTTGTTCTTCCTGTTCTTAGAAATGAGTCAGCAAAGTGGAGAATGAGAAGGGGGCTTCAATGAGAGCGGTGGTAGTTGTTTCTCTGCTGTGCTCACACATGCTAACAGGAAGTTACCAAGCTACAATGGCCAACTGCTTAATGAGATCTTTCTGGGTAACTGAGGAGCCAGATTCTGAAGAACTAAGTAGATGCCTCTGGGAGAGGCTGCATGTCTTAATAGTTTGTGGAATAAAGAACTTGCAAAGTTAGGGAGTCATAATGGGCCGTCTCCACATTTATAGTAAAACCCACAAGTGCACAGGTAGCCATCAGTAGGGGATCATGGCTGAGTCCTGTACAAAGAGACTGCATAAATGATAGCTGAGGCCAGACTCAGAGGGGACTGGTGTGGCTGCTGCTGTACCAGGACAGAGCAGCAGTACTTATAGAACAACCTGGGGAGAGGTCTCAGGGCTCTGACACTCACCCTTTCCCCATGGGGCCCTCTCTTCAACCCTTGTTCTCCCTGCCTTGGTACTGTTGCCACAGCTAACAGGAGTCTCCTTTCTTCTGAAGCTCCAACCATGCCCATCCTGGTTCTTTTATCTGAAAGGAGATTTGCCAGCCTGTTCAAGGCACACTTCATTTCTGGTTTGACTGTTGGTATCTGCCTAGCTGGTCTACAGAAGGGTCCCGTGCAGTCTGCTGTCAGCGTTCTGCCAACCAGGAACACAAACGTGTTAGCTAATCTGGAGAGGGAAGGTAGGAACCTGTGTCAGCAGGACCATCCTGTGTGCGTTGCTGGCAGAGGATCCTGGGGACAGGAAGGCACCCTGCCAGCACAACTCGTTAAGACTCAGTATTAGCATGCCTGGAAACTGGTCAACACTTGGTGCCTCATGTCCTTCTCCCTTCCACTTCCCCTCCCATAGTGGCTGCATAACCACAACCAGGGGATCCAGAGAAGGGAGGCGAGAACACCGAGGACTGATGGAGACCCCAGGGGAAGTGAGCAGGCTTCAGGGAGCAGCTCATTTAATGGGAGGGACAAAGACGTTTTAAACCTTTGGGCCTGAGTAGAGGCTTTGAGATCGGTATACAGTATTGATGGGGCCAGGTGGTCATTTCCATAGGGAGGAGTCCCAGGAGCTTGCTGGACCAGACCTTATAAGGAGAGGGTGAGTTTAATCTGGCGACTTCCTCTGCTGTGGGCAAAGGGTGTGCAGGATGACATCTGAGGCTGGAGAGGGAGTGGTCTATCTTCCTACCACTCTCAAGATGAGATTTCCAGGGTTGGATACCACTCCATCCCGCTCCTGCTCCTGTCCGGCTCCTCCTTGTTCCATAGTTCCCTGGCCCCACAGTTTCCCACGCTTGTTCCTTAAAATTTCTGAACTCCAAATCTTCCTCATTCTAGAAACAAAACAAGTTAGGTTCTTCGAAGTCAGATAAGTTCTTAGTTTTGAGCTTTTGACATATACTGAGTTCCCCAAGCTCACAGCCTTCTACTTGAGGAATTTCCAAGGAATAAGAAGCTTTCATGTTAACACATCTTTAAGTAACCCAGGTGATTTAAGTTGTAGTGATCTGAACTATTGTGTGCATCGATGTACTCAGTTTCCTAAGCAGCAAGATAAGAGCTTCCATTTCCCAGCAAACGGCTCTGTCACCACAAAGTACCATTGGTTGATTACTGACTGATTGTACTGGTACTGATAAACTACCTCTAAATTCATCAGAGCAATAAAATGCTTGTGACAGCTGAACTGCTGCCCAATTATAGATGATAATGTCTCCAGCACCTGGTTTCACTTAACGTAAGGAAGGACCTGACTCCAAAGGCTTCCCACCACATCATGTTTTTCTCATCCAAAATCTTTCTTAGTTCTTCAGAAAGTGGGCCCAGGAAAGCTGTTTCCAGTATCCCATCTGAAGTCACCTCCAATAGAGCACACATCATTAAGCATTGTTACTGGGTGTGGTCAGAAGACAGGCAGCATTAACATGCCCTGGAAACTGGTCAGAAGTATGGAGCCTGCATACACACCTGAATCTAGCACTCCATCTTAACCAGATCGCAGGGATTCTCATGCAGACGGTGTGACAATGGGGGCTCTTCTTTGTAAGAGCCACAATCTACCATGTCAGTTACTTCTTGTATTAAATGAGAAAGGAGACAGGCATCTCTGAGGGGGTATATATTTTCATGGTTTGACTCTCCAGACTCTGATCCATCTTTGCTGTACCTCTCCCTGATATAATGTTCTTCCTCTCACCTGCCAGAGCATTCCTCCTATTCACTTAGGGTCCTTCTTTGCCTCCATGCTTGCTATAATGGAGCCCTGGCCTCCATTCCTCCCACATAACTTTTCTGGGCTGGGGCCTCCAGAGCCCTGGTTCTTGGCAGAGTGTCTCAGCAGTGCCCCTCTCATTTTGCCATGCTGAGTTTTGCACTAGGGGTTATCTTCTTTGTTTTAGGGGATTTCTGTGATCTGGGCTCTTCGAATTTCTTTCTGATACCTTAGGGCTTCAGTGTCCTCTAAGGTGTTCTGAGGTTTGTGCCACTGCCCTGTTGCCTGGCTTTTGTGGGAGCTAGTACCACATTGTTGTTTTTCCCTTTTTAATATTGACTTTTATTCAATTTGCAGATTATTGAAGCAAACTTAAAAGGAGAACTAAACCTAAAGATAGAAACTGAGTTGGTATGTGTGACAACTCATTTTAAGGATCTTGAAAACCCTCTATTATGTGAGTTTTCTTATGGGTTTTTTTGTTTTGTTTTGTTTTTTGCTTCTAATAAAATTGTTTCAATATATATTGTGTTCTCAACGAACGTTTTCAAGTTTGGTTTTCTTTGTTTCCCATTTGAGAAGGAGCTAAGAAGACTCCCTGTCACTGTCACATAGTGGTGCAGTTGGCACTAGGCAGGGGGCCAGGTTACTAGGCAGAAGGTGTACAGAAGGGTGCTTCCCTCCTCTGGGATTCAAGTCAAAAACGATGACTTCCACAAACTCGATAGCTCTTCATTTGTCACTGTGCTGTGAGAAGTTAAGATTCTCATGTAGGATGAAGTCACAAGTTGTGCCTCTTATTTTCTCCTCTACTGAGTCCAACCAATTCTTTCAAGTTTAGGTTGGCAGATAGAAAATATGGTACAGATATACTTGGTCACACTTTTCATCTCATAAAGGCCAGAAAGGAATGTGGAATCAGTTCAGTAAGCCTTGAAAACCATGGTTGTATAGCTTGGTGAGCAGTGAGCCCAAAATAGAATCCTGTCCTCAAGTAAAGAAGTAGCCAGAGGACCAGAGGAAACGTGTCTGGAATGATGGGAGCCATTTTCTGATAACATGTGTGGCCACGTAAGATGACTTTTAGAGTATAATTGGTTATTCCAGGTTTGCTTCCACACAGGTACACATACTACTGTTAGCCCTGTAAGAAACATTTGCTTTGTGGTGAGGGGTACATTGCTCCAGTAAAATGAAATCCATAGCATGAAGCTTCTACAAAGCGAATGACCCTATTTTTCTTGGTGCTGTGTTTGTTCACACATACATTGAGTCAAGGGCCTCTGCATGCTAGGGAAGTGATCTATCACTAAGCTACCTCCTCAGCTCTGACATGAGCTATTTTGGTGTCAAATTACATATTTTAACTAGTTCAAATGTCTGCTGAATGAATACTATTCATAAGTTGCAATTTACCAGGCTACTAAATAGAGCTGTACGTTTAAGTAAACATGCCTTGCACATTTCTGAGTTCCTTGTTATGGGGATATTGGACTTAAAAAAATGTTCATGTCATTGCAGCCTCTGACAGAGTCTCTCAAAACAGACACCCAGAAGACATGGCCAAGGTGCACATCGACATAAGGAAACTCCTCCAGTTCCTTGCCGGACAGCAAGTGACTCCCAGCAAGGCAGTATGCAGTGAGTTTCTTCTCCATTCCCTCCTGTGTGATGTGCATACAGCCCTACACGTGCAAGGATGCCCAGTTCTGGGAACTCGAGTTCCCTAGGACAGTCAGGCTGGAAAGTTTCCTTGAGCCAGAAGTATCTAGAGATGCTGAGGAAGAGTGATGCTGAGCAGTGGAGAGCCAGAAAGCCGGTAGCCATGCTGGACTGACAGTGGGCTGCAGCATGCCACTGTCAGCAGTGGGCTCTGCCTGGGGTACTGTCAGGACAGGGCAGACTATCTCACAGCAGCTGAGTCTATCAGGTTTTACATAATCAGAGTCCTCTACACGCTTTTGCTTAGATCTGAGACTCAGCTCAAGTGCGTTCCTTTCATTGGCCACCTGCCCTCACTCACCAAAGTCTCCTCTTCCTCTCGGTTATTCATGGTTTAGGCCTAGCCCTGACTCTGAGGTTACACACTGCCCTGCGTCTCTTCACCTGGTCACTACACCGAGCTAGACAGTTCATCAAGAGCTTCTTGAGGCCCCGTGTCTCCTTGGTTTTTGTTTGCTTTTGTTGTTTTAAAGAAAGGCACAGCAAATGGCCTGAATGTGACATCCTTGCCTTTATGGAAAGCACCCAGGCTGACCTCTCATCCATTAGTCTCCAGGGCTGGGGAAGATGACCTGGGACTAGACCATATAATTAATAAAACAGATTTCTGGGTAGCTCTGTCAAGAACCAGCCTTAAGGATGTGACCCAGTTAGGGTTACCATTGCTGTCATGAAACAACCAAGACCAAAAGCAGCTTAGAGAGGAAAGGGTTTATTTGGCTTTCACTTCCACAGCACTGTTCATCATCATAGAAAGCCAGGACAGGAACTCAAACAGGGCAGGAACCTGGAAGCAGAAGCTAATGCAGAGGCCACAGAGGAATGGCTTGCTCCTTATAGTTTGCTTAGCTTGCTTTCTTATATATCCCAGGACCAGGAGCCTAGTGGTGGCACCACCCACAATGGTCCAGGTCCTCACCCATCAATTACTTATTAATTGCCTACGGCCCCATCTTATGGAGGCATTTTCTCAACTGAGGCTCTCTCCTCTCTGTTGTTTAGCTTGTATCAAATTTATATAAAGCTAGCCAACACAGAATGAGAAACCACAGACGCGACTCTATGAGAGGCTATGGGATCAGAACACAGGGAAGACTTTCACAGTTTGTGGTATAGCTGTCACAGTGTGCACGGGGCACAAGCACTCAGACTTTGTTCATATACTTTGGTCACCTCATAGTGAGTACGTGCTTTTACCAGGAAGGCTAATTTGGTTAAATTGGCCGGATTTTTCCCCTAAACCTGGGCAGCTTCATTCTTCACCTCTCATTCTGTCCCCAGTGGGTGCAGTGGCATGTGCTGTGACCCTCAGGAGCCCTCAGAGAGAAGAGACACCAAACATAAGAGGTGCCCGTGGCAGATAAGCCTTTGTGACAGGTGGGGATAGAATCTGTCTTTAACATCTGGGTCTTTTCCTCCTAGATATTGTGAGTAACAGAACTGTGCATTTTGATTTGCTCCTGGAAGACGTCTCCCTTCAGTATTTCATCCCAGCCTTGTCCTAGCACCAACTCGCCAGACTCGGGAGCACGAGACCTTTGTCGTGATGAGAGAAGCACTGGACGATATGGTCAGTCAGCTGCACTGTCCGCACAGTGCCACATCTGTACTGGGCTTATTTCTCTCCCTATGCTGCTTTAAGCACAAATGGAATTAATGAAGTGCAGTTGGATAGTCATTTCTTCATATTACTCAATACCAACCCCCTTATCCCTTCAAGCCATTAAGAAGAAAAGAGACATTATTTTTTATAGAATTTTTGTTGCTTTGTTTTCTTTTGGTGCCAGAGATGAGACCAAGGCCTCATGTATACTGAGTTTGTGCTCTGCCACTGAGTTGCCCTCCATTCCTATCTAAAATTTGAGTAGGTTTGTCACTGGGGTTGCAAAAATTATCCTATGTGTAGAATTCATGGTACAGTCAATTTACAGGAGTACTACCCAGGTAGTTTCCAGCTCATTCCCTGGAATAGCACAGCTGCCTGCTTTCAGATTTTAGCACGCTCATTTCTCCCACCCATGCATCTGGGAGATCAGTTCAAAATGGACAGCTCCTCAGTCCCTGCATCATGCCCGGTTTCTCACCACACAGTGAGTATACAGCTGGAGCATGATTTACTGAAGATTTAAGTCCACTCACTTCCTTCTCACTGCCTGCAGAGCCTCAGCCTGGAGAACCTCCAGAGCCTCAGCCTGGAAAAATTGGGTCACTGAGAGCCTACAGGGGCCAGAAACCTATCCCAACCCACACAGTTCCCCCTGTCTTGAACTTGTCCTTTTTGTATTTTCTGGTTTTAGGTTATAACTTACTTCCCTGTTTTTGTAGTATTCAGGATCAAGCCCAGGATTGGGTACATGCTAGACAAGCACTCCGTGCCAAACTATATCTCCAGTCCTTTATATCATGATTTTACATAATTCTTCCACAGTGTCAGATCTACCCTTCTATAAAGCACATTGTGTTTTGCATAAAGCAGTCTAAACTTGGCTGTCATATCTGTGAAGTGATAAGGGAGGGTGTGTCCTGCTCCTCGCCGTAAACACCATTAGCAGGTTTCAGGTATCCCATGAGGTGGCATCATCAACAGTTTTCATGTCACAAAGTCAAAGCCTAAGTTGCCTAGGATAAGATTTAAAAAGAAAGAAAATTAAACAAAAAGAACATTTCTTTGGCATTTTCAAATTATTTAGGAAAAGTAGTGTTTCTCAATGGCTGTTAGGATTATTCATTGTAGTTTCCATTTTTACTTGAAAGGTTCTTGTGTAAGTCAAGCTGGACTCAGATGAGCTGTACATAGGTTGGCCTGGAGCCCCCCACCTTCTGCTCCCAAGTGTTGCGATGACAGATAGGAGCCATCACACCACTGGCTCTTCTGCTATTGAATACAATATGTTTAAATTAACATTTTAAAATTAGGGATTCTTTAATTGTTAAAGCTTGTAACAAAAATCAGTCAAAATCATGATGCAGATAGAATTTTGGGATACTCCCTCCACCTGTTCCTTAGACTTGTCTTTCTAACGGAAGTACCAGCACTCACTAGTCACTAATTTCACTGCTGTGCCGCATACCTGATGCCATTGACTTTACAGTGACTAATGTGAGGGGGAAGAAGTCAAGGGCTTCTTCTCTGGTTCTTCTTCCACTGGCAGTCAAGGGCTATGGTCTCCCTGGTTCTTGTCACAACTTTCTGCAAAGTGTTCCTTTCATAGCTTATGTCTCAAGGAGCTGTAGTCAAGGGAGGGAGCTGAGAAAGTGCCAGGCTCTGGGAACGCAGAGCTACTTTGTGGAACCCCATCCTGAGGTGGAGACTGAGACCAGAGACATTTTACTGTGTGTTGAAGGAGCAAGTTGTCTGAGGTTTAGAGACATACTTTCGTTTACTGAGACTGCCTAAGACTCTGAGGTTTGGAGAGTACTTCCATACATGGGGGAGTCAG